GAAGGGAAACTGATGATAATAATGATGAAGACCCATAGAGAAATATCAGTTACAACAGGCCACCAGGTGGTCCTGCGTTTAGAGTTGCCAACTGTCACCGAAGAACGAGATAAGTGCGGGAGGATGAAAAAGGAGGAGGATAAAAGATAAAGTACAGAAGAGGTTCAAAATTATACATATAAATTTGTATGATGCGTTCTTCAAAGCACTTTTTTCGTTAAGTGACAGATCCAATGAAAACTTACAACAAAGAAATGGCAATCCATAACACACACACACACACATGTGCAAGGGAAAATGCGACGGAAAAGAAAAGTGGAGTAGGGAGGAGAAAAGAGGAGGGGTTGGGGAAGTTCCCAAGGGCTGAAAAACGAAGTCAGTGGGAGAAAGAGAGAAAGCTGGAGGAAAAGAGAGAGCATCAGCAGCTGCAGCAGGCGAATGAAAGTGCATAAAAGGCAGCCAACTAAATTGTGCATCGGTGTTTGTATTATTGTAAATGCATGTGTATGTATGTATGTATGATTTTGTGCAAAACTTGGTAAGCTCTTTTCTTCTCCTTTTGCCATTTTTTGTATTTGCATAGATTGCAACTGCAGCTACAACCACAACAGTCAAACAGAGGAAACCAGAAAATGATAAGCAAAAGATGCGGATACTGATAATGAATGCAGGAACAGAAGGCCCCCCCCCCCACCGAATAAAAGCAATAACGAAATGCCACAAAAAACAACCGCAAAAAACTTGCTGGAGAAAAGTTGTACTAAATCAACGCTTAACCCACTCTTTACTCGTGCGACACTTGTGGTAAACACTTAAAAATATACGAAATCTATTTTTATCAGCATTTAATTTTAAAATACAAAACGGGTTTTAGCCATTAGAATATGTACATTTTTTTTTATTTTTGGTACCATGTTTTTGAACTAAAACCTTTTTGGGTAAGTTTTAGTAAAGCTGAAGAGACATCGAAGTTTTAAAATGACACCTGTGATTCATCTCAGAGTTCTGGCTTCAAAAACCCTTACTTACTACTTACTTACTACAGGCGTAACTATACGGTAAAGACTTCGTGTTGAATAGATTATCACAGTAGAGTTCATATTGTCGTTTATTAATATTAATGCTTTGCTTTAACCTTTTCTTAACCTACATTCCACTTTATATAAATTACATTTCCATAAATACATATGTATGTATGTATATGTAGGAAGAAAATGTTTTCATTATTTTTGATCTTCCAACACGAGAACATCAGATCGGCAGCTTTCAAACAAGTCTTAGCGATCTTCTAGCCGAAAAATAATACGGCCAAACATTCCAAGATAAATATTGGTTTTCCATCAAAAAAGTACAAACTAACAAATAAAGTGTTGTAATTGACACACAGAGGGTTAAAGGTGGTAATAGGGCGGGGGAGTTGGGGTAGGGGGAAGTCACTTACATCGACACCGGCACACAAACACTGACACACTCAGGTGCTGCGGGCGCATTAGCCCAAAGCAGAAAGCAAAGTGCAACGCAGGGTGAAAAGGGGAGAGGAAAACAGAGAGGAGAAGAAAAGCGAGGTGAATGGGATGATTGCGGTAAAAAGAGCTGCGGGTGGTTTAAAAGGGATTGGAGAAGGGGAGTGTAATGGGGGGGGGGGGTCCTAGGTCGAACGGATGTCCGGTTCCCATTGATTGGCCAGACACCCCACGTGAAAGGGGGGTTAATAGAATCAAAGAGATGTGAAGAAAATTAACATAATTTTAAATTCGAGTTTAGAAAACATGGAAATAACAGCAGTTGTTTGAACGTTTAAAGGCAAAAAAGCACTAAGCAATTTAATTGTAAAGGTTTATGTGCGATTGTGCAAGGGAAAGCAAATAGTTAATGTTAATGTACAACTATCAGAAACATTAGAAAAAGAGAGGAACCATTTACCAATTTTTAAAATTAGAGACTCCGATGAAAACCCAGATCGTGTAAACCTTTTTTGTTTTTCAACAGATGATCTATTTTTCTTAATTCTTTCAAATGCAAGACTGATTAAAAAAACCCCTTTTATCCCTTGCTCTGGTCCTAGTTCCTCTTTTCTCTCTTCTCTCTACCAATATCGCCATCCCTTTCCCTGCGCAATCGTGAAGCTTGCCAAAATCAAAGCAATTGGCAGGGCTGCCCTACCGCCCACTACACACGCCCAACGCCCCTTTACTGAACCACCCACCACACCAACCTCCATTTTGCCTTGGTTAAGCGAACGGTTTACATACAGACAGACGCACACATGCAGGCACATGTTTAGTCGTGTTTACATAGCAAAGCGCGCACGAAACGGGGCCTCTCGTAACGCTCGCTTCTCACGCTGTCTCCCTCTTTTCCCCCTCTTCACCCCTCCCCTCTCACCCACTCTCTTCGTTCGCATCGATGACGACGTTAAATGCGTATGCCCACCACTACAAATGCACATTTTGCACACTCAAACCGATGCATATGTATAGCCAATACATACAGATTTATATGTACATATATGCAAAGATATGTACATACCTGTACCATATGGGTATGTATACGCCATTATTAGACGGGGGCTTACATAAGCTACTTACATACATACATACATATGTACATATACATATTAGGAAATAAAAACAAAACAAAATCGACAAAAATAACTTCCTCACCAAATGCGGGAAAGGCCCACACACACTCATGCACACAACTGACTAATTAGCAAAGCAAAACACCCAAAATCAAAACCCCCACTCAAAATTGAGAGATGCTACGAAGTATGGAGCGCAGAGAACGAAAGAAGGTAAGAAAGACACGCACTAGGGAGTTGGTCATACAAAAAATGCCCGGGAGACACCTAAAAACCAAAGCTAAAAAAAGGCCATAAACTGTATTCCCAGCAATAAATAATTCAGAGTTGACATTTGTATACCCTTTAAAATTAAATGGTATATAAAAAAACATCTAGTACCTTTCCATAAAATTAAGGTTAAAAGATAAGATAATGAATTAAGTTTATTGTAAATAATTTTTTTTTTTGGTGTTCCTATGTGTATAAAGTTTAGATTTGACCATATAATAATACTAATTTGAAAGGGTATAAAACTTGTAAGTTCCAAATAAACTATTTATGTATATACTATAGTCTTTCCTTACATATGTACATATATCATTTAGGTTTTAGTCAGTTTTGGTACAGTCATATAAATTTAAAGAATTTAATAATAAAAATTGTTTTTATTTTTAATTAAATATCATGAATTATGTTGCGTGATCACTGTTGTTACATGCTTGTTAACTTTATAAAAAACAATAAAAATTTTATAAATATTTCAGTTAAATAAATAATGTTATGATTCGAAATATTCGGTAAAAAGATTAACTTGCTTTGTGTATATAAGCATTCTAGTTTATCTATCTAGTTTATAAATGTTCTGAAACAACTGTACTTTTGGATCATAATTATGGTATTAATATAAAGATCACAAAACACCTGTTTTGATTTTGATCTGACTGTACTTTTCAGGACTTAACTGCCAGTTAAGTTAAGTCTCGTGTGGTAGCGGCACAATGGAATTCGACGTGGACTCTTAGACCCTGGCTAATTAAATTTTTGGGTAAATGTTTAGAGTTGGGGGCCGACCTTTCGGAGCTGCGCAGCTGGCACTTCGTGTTCGCTCGTATTCGTTCGTTCCCGGTTTTCTCTGCCTTCTGGAGCGGGGCCTGTCTTAAAAGCCGCAGAGCAGAGCGCGCGAATACCGAAAACTTCTTGCACACGATGGAGCGAAAGGGACGGGAGGAGTGATAGCGGTAGCGAGTGAGAGGGGAAGGGGAATGCTAAGCAGGGGCTTTTGCTGCCTGCCAAAAATAGAGACGCCCCCGCCACGCCTCCGCCTTCAAAGAGCAACCACCCACCCACACCCACGCAAAAGCAACAACATCATCATCACACCACCAATACCAATACCAATACTGTGACCCAGCCAGCTCTGTGTGAATCTGTATGAGTGTGTGTGGGCCTTGTACATAGCATAGCTTAAGCTTTCCTTGCACCGTGGTTCAAGTAGCAAGTAAAAATTATAAAAGGCAGAGGGTAAGTTTTAAAAAATGAAAATTCTAAACTAATTAATTATTGAAATGTAGATCTTTTTTAAATACTACATTAATTACCAGTTAGATTTGAACGGCTTGTTCGGTTATAAGAGTTTTCTGGAGCAATCAGCGGAATTGCATTTGACCATGTTTTTCTCTCCTTAGAACATTTACGCTTTAAAACTTTGAAAATAAAGCGTTGTTAAATTGGTAAGGAAGCCCACCCAGTCAAAATAAAGACCCTAGAAGCGTAGTCTATTTTTACGTAAGCCACTGCCACTATAATTCTCAATGCAGATTGTAACAAGGCGCCCTACATAACAAGCCGTTCATGCCTATAGAAATGTAATCGAGGTTGTAATCCAATACTTCCTGATAGCTAGAGATTAAATGTAGGTCAAATATCTGAAAAATGTTTAATGTTTGTTAAACCGTGAATAAACATATTTTAAAGATATACATATATTTTTATCAGATAAAATTGATCCCGAACATTAGAAGTGCATTGCATAATTTTGTACCACAGTAAGTTGTAACGTGGCAGCGACGTCGACGTCGGCGTCGCAGCTTAGAGCTAGTCGATGAGAGGAAGGAGAGAGACAGAGAGAGTAGGACAAGGAGAGTGCGAGGAGAGGAGGAAGAAAATGCACAAGGCGCGGGGGGCCAAAAGGGAATGAGCAGCAACAACAACAATTCGGCAAAATCTTCGTGGCAGAATTGCAGCGACGCTGACTGCGCTGCCTATGTGTATTTTTTTGTTGTGTTTTCCGTTCGTCGTATTTCGTGTTTTCCGTTTTTCTTTTGCGCTCTGCATCCGCTGCCTCTGCCGACGTCGCTGCCCGTGCTAGTATATATATATGTGTGAGTGTGTGTATGTGTGTACCGCACACATTTTTCAGTTGACTCCGTTGAAATAATTTTCGTAACAACGATCACACTCGTTTGTGTATTGCGAAGACGGGCGGACGTACGTCAGGTCGGCGTCGAAAGCGGAAAAAGCGATAAAGAGAAAAAGCGAAAAAGTGCGAATATACAAAATTAAAGAGAGCCAAAGGCAGCAACAACTTGTTTTTTTTTCTATCCAACCGTCGTGTCGTGGCGAGACAACAACAAAAAGGAATATAATTAACCAAAAAATAAGAGAGAGCGAGAGAAAAGCAGCAACTAAACCTAATAACAAATGCATAAAATAGTTTTGTTTTTTTTGCACACTGCAAAAATGCAGTCAGCGTTTGTTTGTGTAAGTGTATAATAAATACAAAAAACCAACAACACTAAGTGTGCAATATGTGTAATTAATATGTAATGTGCTAGAACAACAACAACAAATTAAAGTGCGCGCATTGGCGCACGCATACAAGCAAAAGGAAAACAGCTAACAAAAAAGCGAGTAGCACGTGCGTGTGTGTGGGTGTGTGCCGGCCAGTGTGACCGTTTGTGGTCGGAAAAAGAAAGAAAAGCGAGCCGGTTTATTATTTTTTTTAGTTCTTTTAAATTATGGTTAAATATACAAAAGTCATTAAAGACAAAAAATAAGTAACACACACAGAAAACCCCAGCACTTGTACATTTCAAATAAAATAATGTTAAATCGTGATAACAAAGTTAAATATCTTAATTAGACCCAAACAAACGACCGGGCTCAAAACCCACAACTGGCAAATGACTTTTTTTTTAATTTGATAGCCTTAGGCCAGCTTACAGAACTGAGCTTTCATCTCTCCTATTTTGCCTCACTATACTAAATATAAATATTTATAATGTTATAGAATATCACTTAATTTCAAATGGCAGCTCGGTTTGTGTATAGCGGCCTAAAGTATATATGCTTTTAAGATGCTGGGTATCTAGTCGTCCTCATGTCAAATCTATTTTTTATTCTGTGTAAATACAGCCCCTGAAATGAACCCAAATCAACTGTGAAAAACGATACCCTGGAAATAAGCAAGGATATACAAAAGAGGATAAATAGAGAGAGACCTAGAGCGAAAGCATTCAAGGGAAAGAGAGAAGAGGAGCGATGGCCAGCGAGGATGTGCAAATCACGAGCGTCATCGATGCCAATGGCCAGATTCTACCGCTCCACGGCACCAGCTTGGGTGGCCCACTTGGCCCGCCCGTCAAACAGGAGCGTCCCGATGACGCCGAAATCCGTGAACTGGCCGCCAAGATGAAGGAGCAACAGAAGCAACATGCCGCCCAGCAGGCATCCCGTCAGGTCATGCAACACTCGAATGGAGGCGGCAATACTCCTGCCACAGCCGGTGGCAACATGCAACCGCCGATAACAAATGGTAATGGCCAGACGAACATCATGAGCTACCTATCCCGTCATCAAAAACTACCCAATGGCACTATGCAGGTGGTGCCCGCCTTGGCCTCCAATGGTAGATCAAATGGAGCCATCAGCGATTCCGGTTCGGACAAGAAGTCCTCTTCGGGACCCTGTGACGAGGAGTCAATCAATGGACACTTTGGTTGGGCCCAGTTCGGCAAGGTGTCCATACCCTACATCTTCCGGCAGTCGGAGAAATACTGCTCCGTTCGGATGATAGAGCTCAAACTGCTGGGAAAATACCTCAACTGCCTGCATCCGGATATCTACTCCAGTTGCACCTGCGTGCGCAGCTACTATATCACCGATGCCGAGGCGCGCCTCTTTATCGAGATCAATCACAAGCACTGCGACGGGGAGTTCGGCCGTGATATCTTCAACCAAAAGGATCTGGTGGTGCGACTAAGTGACGCCTCCAAGTTCTATCAGTTCCTGGACATTTGCTATAGAAAACTGGTATCGGGTAGCAAAACGCCATCGGAGAAGTGCGGCTTCATTCGCATCAACAAGGAGTCTGTGGTGCCGTACACTGTGCGAAATAACCAACAGGTTGTGCCGCTCTTCTACTTCGAAGGCGAGACGGAGAATCTGAAGACCAAGGCGGAGATGCTCAATGGCTGGGATCTGGCTTACCTGAAGTTCTGCTGCAAGGTCCAGGGCATCCGCAACGAGCTTTTCTCCAGCGAAAGTGTGGCGGTGATATCGCTCACGGACATCAAGAGCTACTTCCCCAATGGCACCGAATTCGAGGATTACTGGCCCAGCAAGGTGGTGGACTCCAATCTGCTGATGGGCAATCGGGCGAATGTCAACAATTCGGTCAATTGGACCCGTCAACCCTCGGCGCCCCCGCCGAAAGTAACGACAACTGGCACTGGATCTTCCGGATCTTCATCCTCCACTGGTGGCGGTGGCGGAGGTAGTGGCAGTGGCATGGGCCAAAACTCATCCGCATCCTCGAACTCGGCGGGCGGCGGAGGCGGCGGCGGCCAACAGGTGACCTCGAAAGCACAACAACAACATGCCTCGGCGGCGGCGGCAGCTGCTACAGCGCAGCAACAGCATCTAATGAAACAACGCGCCGCCGCAGCAGCAGCAGCCGCCGGCGCCAATGGGGTGGCGAATGCGGCCAACAGTTTTGGGGCGGCAGCGGCGGTGGCGGCCTTCAACTCCCAAACGGCGGCAGCGGCGGCGATGCTCCAGCAGTCGCAGGGCAACAACAGGATGCTCTCGCAGGCCACCGTCCAGGCGCTGGCCAGCAGCGGTTGGATGTCCGGCCAGAGCAATCTGCAGCTCCACGCCCAGATGATGGTGAGTGTTCTAGAATGTCCTGCGGCTTGTTGGGACTGCAATATCAAGAGAATAACTTGTAACTTTGCAAAGTTTTTCATTGTTTTGTTTTTGTATATACAAATCAATATCCCTTAAATGGGTTGGAATTTATCTATTATCTTCATTTTATGCTAGTTAAGGCTAAAAGGTATCAATTTCTTAGGAACCATTATTTTTTTTGTATATCTAGTGCAATTTCGACCATCTACCAACAACTTGGAATTAAACAATTTACTTACTTGTTCCTATTAAAAGTCTTTCGCATCATATACAAATAGCTTTTTAAAAAGAACTACAGTAATTTTGCATTTACACAGTACCTTTACACTTTAGAAATTTACCGAGGAAAAGTTAAAATAATATAGAATTCGGTAAAAAGTTTTGATTGTCACTTACAAACTAGACATCTTGTTACTGTCATTAGGTTTTTTTTATGAGGTGGCAACCTTACTCAAAGATTTTTAGGCGTTACACATTTTTTTAACACTGCCTCAATATACAATGGAAAAAAAATTTTTTCAACACTCTTCAAGTTATATTAATCAAAAATAAATTAAAGATACAACAATTTACTTGTTAATGGTATTTACATAAAAGGGCTGGTTAATTGGCAGAGTTCTTTATTATGTAGGCAATTCAAATCCAAACCAAAAAAAGTAAGGTTCTGTAATGATACTTTAAGATCAATTTCGCTATTCGGTGTATGCTCACTGTGTATTTTTAAAATTAGGTCACAGCTTAGAACCCCCATTTAAAACAAGTTTTTTGTGCTATCATTGATGAAGAAATGCTAAGCCCGACTTTTGCCACGGTAAGAATTTGGGAATTGGAAAAGATCAGCAATGGAAGGGGGCTGGGGGGTTAGATGTTGGTGTACAGAGGGTTTTCTCTAGAGAGTGCATGGCCATGTTTAGTTGGCCTCGCATGTAATGACACACAAACTTATATGCTGGGCCATATATACATACATACATAAACTATATATATATAAATCGGTGTTTGTGTTAGCGTGTTTTTTTTTTTCTAGCAGATTTTTTCACAGTTTGGCAACAGCGCAGCAGCAGCGTTCGACGGCATCAAAAACTAGGTCATCAGCCAGAGTATATTGTGCATAGGAGAGTGGCTCCATCTCCCTCTTTGCCCATCCCCATCTCTTTCCCCCGGGCTCCATCTCTTTCCCTCTTTGGTTGTGACTGCTTGTGTGTGTGTGTGAGTGAGTGTGTTAGCCACAACCTGTTGATGTTGCTGCTGTTGTAGTTGTCACTACAGTCGAGCTTCTATAAAGTAAACCGATTATTATTATTTTTATAAGTTTAAGCTGGGTTTGAAATGTATGTATCGTGAAGGTTAGGTTTAGTATGATTATAAAATCGTAGGAATTTAGTTTTTGTTTATTTTTTAGCAGAGTTTTTTTTTAGAACGCGAGAAAGAAAAGTAACAAAATACTAAAAATATACAGTACAATTTTGTTATTTAATCAGTTCTGGCATTTACATACGGTGTATATGATTGAAATACTTTTTAAGTGATTTAGATACTCAAGAACTTAACAACTTAACAAGCTGTAACAAAAGATACAATTGCCATTAAATTATTAATCAAATCTTAAATACAATTAAAAGACAATTAGCTTGTTTCGACCTCGAGAATCAAATTCGACCCCCAAAAATTAAACTGTAAACACAAAAACCTCGACTCACGCAAAAGAATACCAGCCGTCTAGTTACTTGATATGAGTAATGGTAATCTTATCAAATCTCAAACTTAGAAAACGTAATTCTAATCGTGTATAAAATCGTAAAAATAGCACAAAAAGCCTTTAAACGTTTAATAGAGGCTATTAATCGATTTTTTTGTTGAGCTAATTTGTGTTGGCAAAAGCGCTTCCGCCTTCTTTCCATTGCTAATTGCAATCTGAATTCATAATTGTTAATTATGCACAACAATCTGCCTTGGTTGCACATAACTTGAAAAGTAGGTCACACAAACGATTATCTAATTGGTTATATTTAATTATCAAATAAATAGCAAAAAGCTGTCTAATACTTTAATTTTTGTTCAATGCTTTTATTTTGTCTGCCTTCGATGTAATGTGTAAATGGGGAGTTAAATATTTGTGATATTACACAAATAATTGGAAACACTTATTATATTGATAAAAGTTTTAACATATTTTCTTATCTTATTTTATTGGGTAAAGTGATATTTTTTTAACGCGTTTTAAAAATCATTTTAAAACTTTTAGTTGGGTAGGACTGCTTTTAAATTATAAACAAAAAATTTAATTTAATTTTATAATTAATAATTTATTTTTTTATGATTAATTTCTAATTTTTCTCAACCTTTTTGTTGCATTTCTTTTTAGCAGGCCCAGCAAACGCATGCGAACGCGAATCGCGTGGGCAGCTACCGGGACCACATGAACAGCTTGATGATGGGCGGCAGCAGCCGGCAGCCGTATTCCTACAACAATCCCGCGATCTCCATGTCCTCGGTGAACAGCCACAGCGGGGGTGGCGGCAATGCCCCACCTCCCCTCGTCCGCTCGGCGGCAGGTCAAAATGCCAACCACATGTAAGTCGAACGACAGTCTATAGCCCTCCTTCTATCGATTGTTTAAAACTTTCCCCCCACTACTGTCTTAAAAAAAAAAAAAAAAAAAAAAAGAAGAACTTGTTGATTCTATATTTGATTTTGCCTTTCCTTATGACTATTTACATTTAGTACGTTGATTTTATTTAAAATCTCGGATACAAATGCGCAGAAATTGTGTTTTTCAAATTTTGTTGTAATTCGTTTTTGCCAATATCAAAAAAAAAAACAAAATCTTTATACTCTATTTTTTCGCTGTTGTTGTTTATATTATACATATATAATACACACATTTACAAAGTTGCTCTAAGGGTTGAGTTCTCAATGTCTAGGCTAATATGCAACTAATGTAAAATTCGATGCCCCCGAAAATCGATAAGTTGAAGGATGTGGCGAGCTTAATTAGCGGTATAATAAATGTTTGAAATATTGCTTAGTAGTCAGTAATTGAGTAAAATGCTGGGTGTAGTGGGGGGAATTGCAGGCTAGACATTGAGAAATCGCTGCTTAAGTCAAAATTGCAAAGCCATTAGGGTGCCACATGATTTATTTGTATATCTTCAGGACAGTCAATATATATAATTTTGTTGATCTTTCTTTATGCTCTTTAAAAACCAAAAAAAAAATGTAATGCACCGATTGTTTTTTCGAATTCTCAATGTTACATAGATATATAATAATGAGCCATACCAAAATCGGCGTTTGTGCACGCACTTAATTTGAATTTTTTATCTGTGTTTTTATACTATAAATATACAAAATAATACTCGTTTCTCGCATAACTTCTCTCTGCTCTTTGTTTTGAACGTCATTTCTTTAAAAAAAAAATAATTTTAAATCAAACGACAAAGTAAATATATTCTTATTTTCGTTGTTGTAGCCGAACGCCAAAAAAAATAAACTTGGTATATTTATCAACATTTCTGGCTAAACTGACAAAACATTGATTGTTTCTTTGATTTCTTATTGATACTTTGTTCTCAAATATCTTTGTTAATTTTGGTCCTAAATCTAAATTATTTTTTGTTCTATTGGTTAAACTTATTGATCAATTTATATTGGACGGTAATATCGATAGTATCGTTTTTTGATATAAAACTATCGCTTAATATCAATGGTTTGCCAGCTTTATTCAGTGTGTTTGTAATTGATCCACAATCAATACAGGGGACGCCGGCGTCCACACAGAACTTGATTTTATGTTTTTCAAATAATTACCAAACACCAACCAACCATACCACAAAAATCCCAGTCCCCCTCATAACAATTTCCAAAAAGACCACAAAAAAACAAATATACAAAATTTAAACCTTACTAACCGATTCGAAACGACAACTTTTTTTGCAAATACTTGACGAGCTTTTGTTCTCTCTTTTTTTATTTTCGGGTCTCCAGATTCCTAACCTCTTACGGCATGCATTAGGGTGGCTCATGAGAGGCTATCTAAAAAGTATAGTGAAATAAATAAGCTATCGGTATCGGAGGCGCGACTAAGGTGGAAAATATGATTATTGCTCGCATTGGGAATTCGCGGTTCTACCCGATTCACACCACTACCACCTACTACTCCATATATAAGTCCAGTAGAACTAAACCCAAAACACACATACACACACACGAACACGCCCACACACACACCTACACACGCATCTGTACATACATCATGTTATAGAATTCTCCTATATACAGAGCATATATAAAAAAACATATTTGAGGGTATCCCTAGCAATTGCATGACCTCCCCATACTTGATTAAGTTAAAACAAATTAAAAGTAGAATAAAAATCTTTATAATCGTATATTTATATGAAAACTTACATGTATTTGTTTCTTTTTTCAATGGAATGATGATGATTTCGTTATAACCGTACTTTGTATATTATTGTAATAATACCTTTTCCTTGTTTTTCTCTAAAACCTTTTTTTTTATTCTTTGTATGATATAATATTAATTTAATGTTAAAGAGGAACTACAACATCTTTTGAAAAACATAAATTCGCATAATAAAAGAGAAAAAACCGAAATGATTTATCTTTAAAATATGATTAAATATATATTATATATATATAAATGCAACAAAAAAAACATATCTACATTTATTTAATGGCTGTGTGTACTGACTACCCCTAATGTTATCACACACACACACAAACATCTCAAACTCTCTCACACATACATTAAAACACTACACACACACATACACGTTGTATGACTCACGACTTGTGACGAACGAAAAAGTTAAAAAAAAGATATATACCTATATAAAAAAAGGGGAAAAAAACGAAGCAGCAGCGACAACAACAACGAGAACAAGCTTTTATTGGTGGTGGCAGGTTTTTTTAACCCCGTTTGGCCCCACCCACCCCCTTCCTTCCCTCACTCACACACACACACACACTACTAAAACAAAAAGATACAGATACAAAGTACAAAATACAGTGAAAGATCCTAGATACATTATATATAATGCGTGTACAAAAGTTGAAGTAATAATAATCAATGAAAAACGTATGACAATCGATTAGTAGTTTTTAAACTTGGCTAAAAAAAAAATGAAATGAAATAAAAACAAAAAAGAGCAAAAAGAGCTTCTTCTTAGCCAATTTATATGATCGCACACATTTACATAAAAGACAAACAAAAACACAAAATATTAAAAAATTAAAAAAGCTTTTAATATTTAAATTCCAGAGAATGAATAGTAATATATATTTTGGGAGATTCTTCAACACAATTGAAGCAAGAAACATTTTCTTTATTTTATTTAAAAAGTAAGAAAAGGAATATATTTTGAAAGAGCAATGAGAAATCAACAAAATATCTTAGGTACAAACATAAAATACTGTCGTTTTAAAAACTAATTCAAAAACATCTATTAAATTTATTTTCAAACTTTTTTTTTTTAAAGAAAGAGCAGAGAGTAAAGCACAAAAAAAATCATTAATGCCTCCATTAAACCAAAGAAAATAAAAATCGGGTATATAAAAACCAACGATAATTGACTATCGCCACCTGGTTTTCTCATTTGTTTTCATCGGCAGCGGTCGAGCGGAAAGGCCAAGGCAATCGGGATATCGATGTCTCCGATATGTTTAAGTCGGCAAAGCAGTGCAAGTGCGGATGCAGGAGAAGAAGAAGAAAGAGAAGCGTACGCCCGCCAACGAGATTCAAAAATTCAAATACATACCAAAAAGATCAAACAAAGAAATGCCCAGTGTTTTTTAAGTCTTAGTTAGTTGATGAGGAATGACAATTACAACAAAATCGATTGAAAAATGCAATAAAATATTAGTACTTAAAAACAGAGCTAATAATAAACAAAATGACAATTGTAAATAAAAACAAAATAACAAAAAAAAAACAAAAAAAAAAAGGGGCGGTTACCTCGACTTATGTATTGTATATAATGTTTCTAGGTCGAATGTCGAGCAGTCACTGGTGCAACAACAACAGCAACAGACACAACAACAACCGCAACAACAACAACGACACCAGAACAGCACATTTAACAACAACAACAACAACAACAGCAACCGTGCACCACAGCAACACTCTTCACCAAACAACCAGAACAATAGTAGCCACCACCACCATCATCATCATCAACAACATGCCTTAGCCAAAAGTCTCAGCAGCAACTTGCACAGCAGCAGCAACATGAGCAGCAACAACATGAACAGCAGCAACATGAGAAATAACAACAACAGCAGCAACAGCAGTAGCAGCAACATGAATGGCACCAATAGCAGTAATAGCAACAACTCCAATTCGGCGGCTGCTGTGGCCGCTGCTGCCGCTGGATATGTGCAAGCTCTTTTAGGGGGCGGCGGCGGTACTGGGGGCGTGGCTGGTGGCGCTGGCGCCAACAGCAATGCCTTCAACTACAACCTGCCTTCGACACGAGCGGATTATACGAATCTAGCACTGTGGAATCAACTAACGCCCGCCCAACGTTTGCTCTTTAGTCAGCAGCTAAAAGGTGCTAATCCAGGTGGTTCGGTTGCTGGTCTTCCCAGCAATACTGCATCCAGTCATCCAGCGGGAAAGCAGAACTTTCCCGCACTACCCTCCCTGCCATTGGATACGGATCTGATAACCATGCTGGACTACAATAATCCCAATAAGGCAAATAAAAATCTAAAATCTGGAGGTGTTACATTCACCAAACCGATTGTGCCACCATTGATACCAGATGGTTCGGCAGCCGAAATAAGTCTGACCAAGAGCAGAAGGGGAGGCGAGGGCGGAGGCGGAGGAGGAGGAGTGCCACCGACGACCGGAAGTGGCACTACCATACCGCTTAACTCCACACAAGCTCTCGAGGATTTTGAAAAGAAGTGCACCGTAATGTCGGACGAAATGCGGGCTGTTATACAAAAGGTTCTGGCCAATCCGGATCTCTCCACATTTATACAGACGAATTCCAGTGGCAATAATGGTGCAAATCAAAATCATTTGGTGCCATCGTATATATCGCCGCCCATGTCGCCATCGGTGGGTGGTCTAAATATGGGCATGGCCCTGGGAAATGTGGCCACCCTGACATTGGCATCCAATCCGAATGTGACGATAACGCCACAGTTGCCGGGACACTTTCTGCATTCGCCGTCCAGTTCGTGTTCCAGTTCGAGTGCCTCGAATACGGCGGCATCACCATTGAGCAGTGGCGGCGGGGCAAATGGGGCAAGTGGGGCGGGGGCGGGTGGAGCAAGTGGGGCAACATCTGGTGGGGCAACTGGTGGTCGGCAGAAGAGCGTGATTTGTTCGACCAAAAGCAATAACCTACCAATGGCCATACTTACGCTAGCTAGCAATAATTCAGGAGGGGTTAGTTCAAATTCGGGGGGACGACGGAATAATAATAATAACAATAATAGTAATATTATAAATAACACTAATAATAACAATAGTAATTATGGGCGTCAGACACACAGCCAAAATAGTAGTAACCACAGCAATACACAAACCACACAACAACAACAACTACAACAACCACCAACAACACCCACTGACGTAATCGATCTGTCCTCCTCCCGAAGGTCACTTGCTGCATCGGCGGCCTATTTGCAGCAACATTCATCGGCGGTCGCCCAACAACAGCAACAAGTGGCTGCCGCAGCGGTGGCCCAGCATCAACGTTTGGCCGCCGCCGCCGCCCATCATGCCCAGCATGCCCAGCAAAATGGACGCAGTTCGTCCAATTCTGGAAACTCGGGCAATTCGGCGAATTCTTCGGGAAACAACAATGGTACCAGTAACTCGGGCTCCGCCGGAAACGGATCAACCGGCAATGGCAGTGCCTCATCCAATAGCGCATCCATGCACCTGCAACGGCATGCGGCACTCGCACATGCCGCTGCGGCGGACAGTGCCCAGCGGTTGTGCGTCATACCCGAAATACCCACAAACAACATGAACCTGAATCCCTACAAGGTGCAAAAGGTGTGCGTCGACAAGCATCTGGTGCCCTGCATCAACATGAAGGCCTACAACGATTCCGAGCAGCTGATGACCCTCATCGAGTTCCAGAAGAACTTCTTCCCCTCGGTGCCACTGGATCACTGCAAGCGATTGATTGAGGCACTCGGCGTCGAGCTCTACAAGGCGAATCGGTGAGTTATATATACAATATATCATATTTTGGCAGAAAAAACACTTTACATTGGCCATCGATAGCCCAAAAAGTTGACCGTTTTGTGATCGGAACAAAATAAATTTTAAAATATTAATATTTTAAAAACAGAAATGGCCAACATATTTATTCACAAATGCGAATTTGATTAACCTCATTTAGCAGCTTCAAGATATTTTAGATAATGCTTTTTTATTCAATAAACAAGTTGTGTTATCAACTTGTTTTTGCTTTACTTTATTTTTGTAATATACACGAGCTGCATTGCATGGGCAAAATTAATATTGCAATAACGAGAGGGATTTATTAAAAATATGTCAAAGGGAAAAATATTATTGAATGCCGTCAACCAAAAGCAGGCAAAAATGTCAAGAAAATATCATATGAATTGAAAGAAGTTAATAAAGTGCTGAATTAAAAGGACTTTTTAATAAAAATGTTCCATGTAAATAAACATGATGTCGTGCGTATACACTTAGTTGATCTTTTTTTAAACAATTATTAATTTATTTGGTTCAGTTAAAAATTCGAAAATGAACTGCCAAAAAGTGTCACTTGAAATGCATTTTGATGGATTACATCCGACATATGTACTTACTGATATACATATATGTATCAGCGAACCCCAACTGATGGCAATCTCTTTGATTATTCGCAGGCGACAGGTGCAGATCCTGATGGACTACGACCGCAGCTACAACGAGAACATGCCGCTGGTGCAGGTGCGCGACATCATCAAGTACATGACGCAGCTGACCTTTATGACGCGCCAGCCGGAGCAGCCGCCGGCCAAAAGGACGCGCACGAGCTAGGAATTAAGTTGGGGAGCACAACATTTGCCACCATCAACAACAAACACAACAACAATAACAGCAGTAGCAGCCACAACAACAAGCACACCGACAACAACACCATTAAGCACAACAGCCACAACAAGCAACAACACCACAGCAACAGTTCACACAAGATCAACAGCAATAACAGCAACATCATCAGCAGCAGCGGCAACATCAGCAACTTCGGTGGCAGCCCATTCGATGAGAAGGAGGGCATTCACACCGCCAGCAAATGTGAGCGGCGGTGAAGTGGTGACCAGACGGAGGGCTCTGGCACCACCGCCAGCTCCACCAGTTCCTGCCACACCTCCTGGTACACCTGCAACATCATCGGCAACACCTGCACACACCACCAGCAACACATACGAAATGTTGTACTCCCACAACCCACACCCGCTCCACCAAGCAGCCCAGCACCACCATCCGCAGAGCCACCATTCGCAGCACGAGCAGCAGCGTCTGCTGAAGAAGCGGCAACATGCCGAGCAGACCGCTGCCAAAAATCCACGAACGGCTGCGGCAGCTGCTCAGAAAATGGCCGAGGCCGAGCATGCCTACTTGTCCAATTTGTATGGCAAGGCAGCGGCCAGCATGTTGAGTCCACCTCTGAGCAATGTGCTGCCCGACTGGGAGCAGCAGAGGCAGCGAAGGACACAGGCGGCGGCAGTAGCAGCAGCAGCAGCAGCAGCAGCAGCAGCAGCAGCGGCGCCACCAGCACCAGCGCCACCGCCCCACCACTTGCAGCAACAGCAGCAGCAACATCATCAGCAGCAGCCGCAGCAGCAGAAACAGGCGACGGTGGCGCCACCCCAGCGTCACATAATGCATCGCAGGCATAGTGTTTGTGCCGCAGGACTGGCCAGCCTGTCGCCCGCCTCCTCGACGCACTCCTCATCGACGGCCTCGCCCACAACGGCGGCGGCTGCTGCCTTGGCCGCCGCCTCCTATTATGGCAGTGCAGCGGCAGCGGCGGCGGCGGCATTTACGGCACCATATCAGCATCATCATCATCATCATGCAGCAGCGGCGGCTGCAGCGGCCCACCATCATGCGGCAGCAGCAGCAGCGGCAGCGGCCGCAGCAGCGGCGGCCCATCACACACACGGCCAGCCGTCGCCGACCATTTATCCACCCACTCCGCCGCCATCGGCACCCTGGGTGCATCCCTGGTATGCCGGCGATGCGGCCTTTTGAGCGAGAGATCCCAGATCCTAGAACGATCAGATCCCAAGGGGCAACCAACTCAAGCCCCACATTGTACATTCGAGTTTCTAGTTAAGCTATTTATTAAAACGACAAAAAGAAAAAAACAAAATTGAAAAACATAGAGAGAGATTGAGGAAGCCCCCAAACATTTTTTTTTGCGCGCGTGTCTGGAGGAGATGATTAGTTTGTAAGTAGGCTAAATAAAAAAATTTCTGGACATTATATGTCAACTAACCAATAGTCGAGGGAAACCTTTTCGATGATATATGGATTACTAGAGCTGCTGGAATTTCGTTTGGTCAAACAACAACAGCAAACATAAAACAAACATTTTCAAATGAGAACTCAAAGAACTGATTACATTTTATTATCAAAAAACCTAAAAACACACACAGAGAGAACAATTCTTTTTCGTTTTTATTCTCGTTCGGATTTCTATATTTTCGTGGTTTTCAAGCCTTTTTCTAGCAATATTAAAAAAAAACATTAACAGATATACATGTTATATGCTATACATATGTAATATATAAGTAATGAGCCAATAAACTCGTCATATTGTAAGCAAGAAATTAAATTTCTTGCGTTCCAAAACTATGCAAAAAAAAAACTACCAACTACCATTAAAAACTAAAAGCAAAGAACTAAACGAAAGCAACTATTCAAGAAGTGAGTCAAACAATTTTGTAAGCTAGAAGAAGAGATCCGTAGATCGTGAGAAATTCCATTTAATATTCATTATCGTCTCATCATTGTCAAACATTATCATGAAAAGTGTCCCATTCGAACAGCAAAGCATAAATCCTAGACAACTGTATAATTGAAGAATTTCCAAATCTTACAAATAACATAAAAAGCTACAACTAAAAAAGCAAAAAAAAAACGAAACAAAATGATAAGCTGAGGAAGAAACACACAAAAACAACAAAAAACCATAAAACTATGTTAAAAACATACAAAAAAGGATTATATTAATATAAATACAAAAAGGAAAAGAAATCATTATGTTATATACAGTGTATGTATATCGAAATATATATGTATGTGTATGAAATACTTGAATATCCGTTTTATGGATTTAAGCAAACATTTTTTTATATATTCATAGTTTTTTTTTTTTTTTGTATTGGGAAACAATATTTATTTAATTTTATGTTGCTTATGTTGCACTACAAATTACAAATTTCTTTTCCTTCGCTCATACCACTCATTGTAATTCATTATAGTTTAGTGCTGTTATTAAATTAGCATGGGCAATTGTTTAAAGGAATTTATAATATAATACAAACACACACACACACACACACAGAGACACAGACAGACAGAGAGAAAACTAAGTAAAATTACAATTATTATCTTTATTATTGTTAGGTTTAAAAGCCGCAAAGTATTTATCAATGTGTGTTTTCATTTTTGACAGTGCAGCAAGAAACTAAAAGCATAACGGAAAATAAAGAAATGAAGCAAAACTAAACAAAATCAATTTCGAAAATGTGTTTTTATTGTTATATGCGGTTACTTGGGGAATGAGATCCACTGGATTTAAAAGATGGACCAAAAAGGCGCCAAACTTTTGGACTGTTAACCAAACAGAAAGTTTCGTCCTGAGCTTTTTCAGCGCACTGTTATAAAACACTGTAAAAGCTTTTAAGGATATGTGTTGCTTTTAAAATAAACACAATTCCTTTTAAAATGGTTTTATAATTTGTTATGAAGATAGCTTTTTTATTTGTACTAATCATATGGTTTTTAAAAAATATTATTTCAAAACATAACTTCATATCGCGAATCGTACAATTTGAAATGTTAATGGACTGAAAAAGCTTTCATAAGAGTTTAACGATTTTCTCTTTTGAATAGTCTGATTGTACTATTTTTATTTTTTTTTTTACTTATATTTATATTTGTTTACTTATATTTGAAAATAAATCAAATTGTATTTATTGTTTTTTAATACGAGCATTAAATTGTTTTAAATGCAGCTTCTTAGTTTAGACATTATATACCTATTTTGTAGGCAACGAATGCAGTGTTGTGGTTCATAACTTAACAGCTTAAGCTTTGTGTTTAACAGGACTCTAAAAATGAAGAGCTTAAAGCGTTTTCAAATCTTAAATTCAATTTCCGTTAAACCTGAGAATCTAAGAGGACATTAAATTCATAAAAACACAAGCAGCAAAATGTTTCAATCTATGTAAAAAAAAGGGCGTCACAAAAGATATGCCGTGTTATATTAAAATGGGAGGCATCTGCCCACGGCGATGTCGTTGTCAAATGAAGTGCAACATTTTGTGGGGGCAGAGAAGTTTTCCATCTTTCCTGGGGAAAATTCAGGACAAATTGCATGAAAACTGTGTACGCGTGCATGAGCAATAAAATACTTTGGGGACCAAACTGTGCGGAAAAACTGCAACAGACCAAAACAATGGCAACAACACGGACACGAATGAAGTTTAAGGGAATTTCCACTGTAAGCGCAAGATAAACATGACCCTTGGGTGGAAAAGTGGGTGATGGGTGGTGGACAGTGCAACTGTGCCCCACCGTTTCCCCCATTCGCCAGTCTGTGCCGCGTGTGTCCTGCGAGTCCTGTGCGAGTAAACAAACGCACATGGCTGCCAGGCAAAGGGACAACTGTACAGGCCGAACAGGATGTACTACAATAATTGATAGGTGTCCCGAATTAAGGATACCTTCCTATAATTATACAGATATTTAGTGCATTTTTAACTGCAACTTGTTTTCTAATGAAAGTTCTTAAAGCTATTTGTGTTTATTGTCTTAGAAATGCTTTAAAGTTACTTAATTAGCAACGTCTAAAAATCATAATCATTAAAATATTAGAAATGTATTTCTTTTAAATTATCTACATAATAATATCTAAATAATATTTATTTTAGGAACAGATGCTTTTGGGTCTTTGACAAATTCGGTAAATATATCTTGATTATTTTGGCTCCTTGCATTGTTTTTTGAGGACCCTAGTGGATCCTAGTGGTCGCCATCCAGGTAGTATAAAAATGTAACTTTAACGCCCCGCTCGACGTCATTTATTCGAATCTACCTAGCCCCCCATGCCACTCCCCCTTCTACCGCCCCCTTACACACACAGACACACACATGTACAGTTGACTTTCCGCCATATTCGTTGCATTGGGGAAAAAAGTTGATCCTTTCGCTTGCCTTCGTCTGCTTCCCCCGATCCTGTCCCATTGCCAAAAGCGAAAAGTGTAATTCCCGCAAATAAAACATGGTAACCGCCATGCAAACAAAGCAGCGAACCAACAGAAACAACTGCAAAACAAAATATTACAAAAAAGAAATCGCGCACAGAAATTTGTTTAAAAATATTTATGAAATATACACAAATTGTTTATGAAGTAAAACCGCAAACGTTTTATTTTGTTGGCAGGTCAGGACCCCTGGGAAACCCCGAAATCCGATCTGTCCACCTCCTTTGGGACAAAACGGACTGGTATTTGTGGTCAGCAGATATGACCAAAGGCCATCATTGCAGAAATGCCTTTAGAGTTCTATTTGGCCATAGTCTCAAGTCTTTTTCCAAGTCTAATGGAAGTCTTAAGCATATGGGAAAGTAATATATCTAACACTTTTCAGTACGCGTTAAAAATAAATAAATTATGTACACAGTGCGTATACGTAATTTTTCAGAATCGGAATACTTGTAATTACGTATACGCAACTTATTACGAAATTAAGATTACAGGATGCTCATACGGGTACGGCCCATAGTCTCAAGTCTTTTTCTTAGTCTAATGGACGTCTTAAGAATATGGGAAAGTAATATATCTAACACTTTTCAGTACGCGTGAAAAAATAAATAAATCATGTACACCGTGCGTATACGTAATTTTTCAGAATCGAAATACTACAAATTACGTATACGCAACTTATTACGAAATGAAGACTAAGTACTTAATTACTTTGAATCTTTTCATTAATTTATTATATTAGTACATACACATATTATATTTGTCATCTTATAATGCACTTGTTAATTCACAAAAACCTTACATTTTCTGTACGTTTAATAAATAGGAAAAAACTTTTCAACTTCCCCTTTAAGAGCGCTATAATAAAAAGTCATACCTTCAGCCACAGAATCCCTTCGATTTTGTTCTCTTTTTCGGTGTCTAATTAGAGGCTGACTAATTGATGAGTGGGCCCTTGGAAACGAAAAAACGAAGGACACAAGTGATTGACAAGCCGTTTCATTGTAAGGACAATGCCCGGACACTTCTCCATTCAGTGGAGTCAGTCACGACAAAAAAAGAAGCCAGCAAATTGCTCTCCTTGTTTTTGCATCGCCGGCAAACTTTGTGCCCGCCTATCCTTTGTCCCTGAACCACCGTTCTCCGCCCACCGCATCACCCCAAAAAACCACCCGCTGACCACAATGTATGGCCGGGCATTATTCAAAGGACCCACTGGCAAATGCGATCCGCTTCGCTTCGCTCGCTGGTAAAACAAGCGCGAAAACATAATGAGCATATAAATAGACAAACAATCACCAACCGAAGCACCACCGCACCACTCCCCACACAAAAAGGACACCACCGAGCACCCTCAACCCACCACCCACCACGACCCGCTATCCACCACACAGCGAGGTGAGTTCAGCGGTCGGCAGCAAAGAAAACCATTAGTCGTAGGGAAGTCCTGCTGTCGACCACATCGTATGGTATTTTTTTATTTATTGTAATATAAATTAAGGATATAAATACTAAAATAAGATATTATTTGCTTTTATTTATATAATATTTTGGCAATGCTGCAAAAATTACCGTTTATGCTGGCAATGCCTAATGTTTTTTGTAAAGCAATACAAATCTCTGTTTTACATTAGCAGAAATACAAAAAATAATAATAATAAACAAACATTTTCATGCTAAAAATAAAATCTTATAAATGAATCCTAGAACTCAATCAATTTGTTTATTTATAAAATATTTTTTTGACAAAATTATACATCTATTACGTGGGGTATGGCGGGGAATATTTAAATAAATAAAATATACCTTTATCTATATGTGTTTCAAAAAATTTGGCAGTTGAAAGTGTTTTCATTCTATTTGGCACTTCCAAAGTTTTTTATCCATCGTCCGTGTTTACCTACCCATTTTTCATTGCTTTTGTTTCCAATTCAAACTTCTCACTCTCGCTCCATTTTGTTCTGTCTATCCTTTGTTTTTTTCCTCGCCTCTGTTGTTGTTGCTCAGTTTTTGTAGCTGTAAATCGAATTTGGACACGCTTAGATAACTTTCAGATTTATTTATTTAAAAATTTTAGACGCCAAGCTCGGCAATTTATTGGATACATTTACTGCTCGGATGGATCGATTTTAGTGGCGCTTTCGTTTTAAAGATTAAATAAATTTAGAGCGGACAGAGCGATATATTTGGTAAAACCAGTTGGGTTAAATGACTCGTTTTAAAAAGTGAATATAGTCGTAAATTGTAGCGTAGTCGTAGATTTGTTTAAAGAAATTTTAAACTGATAGTGACTCAAGATGAAATTTTACCCAGTTGGCAATGCTGCGAAATACGCTTTTAACTTCCACTTGACAATGCTGCAAAAAAATGTGAGATGCTGGCAACACTGGCCGAGACTTTTATCTTTAGAATTCGCTTCTGGCTTAAAGTTAACTTACTTCCCCCGACAATTGCCGAAACTTGCATTATGCCAACTGTTTCCTTAAGTGCTCCACCCCCAACTCACCCCACTACTATATTGTTGTTTCGTTCCAATGTGTACGCATAACATTGCATTACCACAATGACCACTCGGATTTTACTCTCTTCGTTCCCGTTCTCACACTGTTGCGTTTTACATTTTCATTAACTTAAAATAACAACCGAAAGTTGTGCAACCGAAACCGGATCTCATGCTACAGTGGGGCTTTTCCAGCAGGCTCTCCTCCTTTGGAAAAGTGGAGCAACGGAGTGCGAAGAGCCCTACTTCATACATAAACATTAGCCGGCGAACAATATTTTTTGATATGCCCTGTCCAGCTGTGTTCCATTTTCCACCTCCCCCCAAGAAAACTGGGAGCCAAGCGTAACGTGCAATTTTTATTATTATAGCCAGGAACTTGCTACATGTCAGGCTGCCTAGACACTGTTGTTAACTTTTGCTGGCCACCAAAAACGGGGATATTCCACACGCCCCCACAAAGATTCCTCAAAATGTCTGCCTTCGATTTCGACGACTAGCACATTTTTTGTCCATTATTATAACTTAATTTGTAAAATTGAAATCTTTATCCTTCCATTCAGTTAAGCTTTTAAAATTTTCACTTTTCTTGTTGTGCAATTTTTAAAGGAAACCACTAAGATAAGACCAAGGATTTATAGATTTTATTCCCCCACCTCGTTTCTTTGACTTTGGTCGATATTCTAATTATTTTTTTTAGTGGCAAAAATAAATATTTGGATATTAAAAATGTTTTCACCTTCGATTAAT